AATGATAGTTTTAAAAATATATTAAATTTAATACTTTTAAAAATTCTCCAGTCAATTATAATTAGCATATGAATGATAGTAAATTAAATGTTAAAAACTCTAATTAACATATGAAATTGCCACTTGCGTGATTTAAAACTTTTAAAAATCCTCTAGTCAATTATAATTAGCATATGAATGCTAGTAAATTAAATGTTAAAAACTCTAATTAACATACATATGAAATTGCCACCTGTGTGATTTAAAACTTTTAAAAATTGTAAGTATCACATATAACTAACATATACATGATTTAAACTTGTTGAAACCTCTAATAATCGTGCGTAATTAACATATGCCATACATCAATTGATTTATATGGATAATCAATACATCCAAAATAGTTTACATCATGTACACAATAATTACGGCATTACATCGGCGGTGACGGTTGACCGCACGTACTTTCTCCTCACTATTGTTCCCTCCTTGTGATCGCTGCGTGAGTAAGGGGTGTCTTCATTTGATAGGAGGATGCTAGGGTCAATCGTCACCGTGAAAGGGGGTTGCCCATCCAACTGATCGTAATCCTCGTCAGTCTTGTCCTCAACTCCGACGATTTTTCTTTTGCCTGGGAGAACCACTTGACGCTTAAGCTCATCAGGCCCTCTGCCCTTCTTTCCTTTGCTAGACATGTCCTTCACGAAAAAGACTTGCGTTACATCATTGGCAAGGACAAAAGGTTCGTCCGAGTATCCAACCTTGTTAAGGTCAACAGTTGTCATCCCACTGTCATCAATCATTACGCCTCCACCAGTCAACCTAACCCATTGGCACCGGAACAGAGGAACCTTGAGAGGACCATAGTCAAGTTCCCATATGTCCTCGATGGCACCGTAATACGTGGCAGTTGTTCCATCGTGTCCCATGGCATCGACACGAACAGCGCTGTTTTGGTTCGTGCTCTTCATGTCTTGGGCTCTCGTGTAGAATGTGTACCCATTGATCTCATATCCCTGGAATGTCGCGATCGACCCAGACGGTCCCCTCGCCAGGAAGGCAAGTTGTTGGTTGATCGACTCGTTACCCATGAGATGTTGTCGTAGCCACGCGGGGAAAGTATCAATGTGATGCCGTGTAATCCATGCATCGGACTTACCAATGTTCCTAGCGCGAACTAGAGCCAAGTGCTCCTTGATGTAAGGAGCTACCAATGAAGAGTGTTGCAGAACAGTGAAATGGGCTTTACGGAATAAATTGTTGTCTACCGTCATTATTGCTTTCCTTCCGAGAGTTCCCTTTCCCCGTAGTCTCCCTTCATGGCGTGATTCAGGTACCCCGATTGGGCGAAGGTCTTCGATAAATTCTACGCAAAATTCGATGACCTCCTCTGTTCCATAACCCTTGGCGATGCTTGCCTCTGGACGAGCACGGTTACGAACATACTTCTTCAGAACGCCCATGTACCTCTCGAAAGGAAACATGTTGTGTAGGTACATAGGCCCGAGAATACGGATCTCTTTCAAAAGGTGACAAAGCAGATGCGTCATTATATTGAAAAATGAAGGTGGAAATATCAACTCAAAACTGACGAGACATTGCACCACTTCATTCTGAAGGGCTTCTAATCTATCCGGATCGAAGACCTTCTGCGAAATTGCGTTCATGAATGCACATAGCTTTGTTATTGTTGCCCGGACATTGTCTGGAAGGATACCCCTTATTACAACTGGTAGCAGTTGTGTCATCAACACGTGACAGTCATGAGACTTTAGGTTTGTGAACTTCTTCTCCTTCGTGCTTATTATTCGCTTGATATTCGTGGAGTATCCAGATGGTACCTTTATGCTCTCCAAGCATTCAAACATACTTTCCTTCTCTGCCTTGCTAAGAGTGTAGCTGGCTGGACTCAAGTAATGGCTTCCTTTCTCCTTTGGTTCCGGGTGAAGGTCGCCGCGTTGTTCCATATGCTTCAGATCATTACGTGCTTCCAGTGTATCTTTCGACTTTCCGTATACACCTAGGAAGCCAAGAAGGTTTACGCAAAGGTTCTTAGTGAGGTGCATCACGTCGATTGCGTGGCGTACGTCCAAGAATTCCCAATATGGTAACTCCCAAAATATAGAGTTCTTTTTCCACATCGCCGCGTGACCATCTTCGCTCTCTATATGCTGGCTTCCAGGCCCCTTTCCGAACACTACTTTAAGATCTTTAACCATAGCAAACACTGTTTTCCCGCTGCGATGTTTAGGCTTCGTACGGTGGTCGGCCTTATGTTCGAAGTGCTTGCCTTTCTTCCGTACCGGGTGGTTTGCTGCAAGGAATCGACGATGACCCATGTATACAACCTTCCTACAGTGCTTAAGATACGTACTTTCTGTTTCATCCATACAGTGAGTGCAAGCCTTGTACCCCTTGTTGGACTGTCCGGATAGGTTGCTAAGTGCAGGCCAATCGTTGATGGTTACGAACAGCAGCGCTCGTAGGTTAAACTCCTGTTTGTCCTCGTCCCACATGGGGACACCTTCCTTCTTCCACAACTGTTTAAGATCTTCGACCAGTGGTCTTAGGTACACGTCGATGTCGTTACCAGGTTGCTTGGGGCCTTGAATAATAATCGGCATCATTATGTACTTCCTCTTCATGCATAGCCAGGGGGAGGTTGTAGATACACATCGTAACGGGCCAAGTGCTATGGCCGCTGCTCATCTCTCCAAAAGGATTCATGCCATCCGTACTCAAACCAAACCGTATGTTTCGTGCGTCCTTTCCAAATTCTTTAAATTTTCTGTCGATGTTTCGCCACTGCGAACCATCGGCGGGGTGTCTCAGCATCCCGTCCTGTTGACGCTCTTCAGCGTGCCATCGCAACATTCTAGCATTCCCCTTGTTCCTGAACAAACGCCTTAGCCGTGGTATTATAGGGAAATACCACATCACCTTAGCAGGAATTCTCTTCTTTGTTAGCTGCCCGTCAACTTCTCCTGGATCGTCCCGTCTAATCTTGTATCGTAGTGCTTTGCAAACAGGGCATGCTTCTAGGTTCTCATACTCCTCACCGCGATATAGGATACAATCGTTCGGACATGCGTGAATCTTATGAACTTCCAGTCCTAACGGGCAGACTATCTTCTTAGCCTCGTACGTTGTCTCGGGCAATTTGTTTCCCCCCGGAAGAATGTTCTTGACGAGTTTCAATAAATCGCCAAATGCCTTGTCACTAACCTCATTTTTTGCCTTCCATTGCAACAACTCCAGAGTGGTATCCAACTTTTTGTGCCCCTGCTCGCAACCTGGGTACAACGAAGTTCTGTGGTCCTCCAACATCTTGTCCAATTTATGGGCCTCCTTTTCACTTTCGCAGTCTTCCCTGGCGTCCTGCAACATCTGACCAAGATCATCCGCAACGTCGTTACCATCAGCAGCTATTTCCTCCTCGCCCGTTTGATTTCCTTCAAATCCAACATACTGAGCAAAGTCCGGAATATTGTCGTCTTCCACTTCATCTTCTTCCATTTCAACACCTTGCTCTCCGTGGGATGTCCAACAATTATAGCTTGGCATGAACCCCGACTCAAACAACTGGAAATGAATAGTCCTGGATGCAGAATACTCCTTCTGATTCTTACACTTATTGCATGGACAACAAATAAAACCCCTTTGCCTGTTAGCTTCGGCCACTCTCAAAAAATAGTGCACGCCGTCAATAAACTCTTTGGACCGCCGGTCAGCGTACATCCATTGCCGATCCATCTACATGAGTCAAAAAAACCGCACACAAATAATTATTCTTACAATAATGACAGTCATACAATAATTATAAGATATCTTTATTCATACAAAAATCATAAAATATTACACCAAATAATTCTTAAAAACTATTTGTAAAGTTTTAAACTAATTTTAATGTGTTTTACTTCTTTTAATTTTTATTTTAGTTTGTTTTCTATTATTTAATATTAACTTTCACTAGAGTTTTCCTTCTCAACTATTTTATAAAACCTTGTTTAGCAAATGAACTAAATTTCTATATATTCTTTCTTCCCCACACACATTTTCTCTCTCATCAACTTACAACTAAATTTTGGAGACAAAAAAAGTGTGCAAAACATAGGTGCAAATGTAGTATGACAAAAAAAAAACATTGGAGGATGAAGTTGCAAACCTTTTAGGCACCTCCGATTTGTATGTAATCACCAAAATAAATTCAATAGAAATTTTGGCATGACCTCCCCTCTTTTTTGAAGAAATTTTGAAGCTTGCTCGGGCAGCTGGAGGAGGAAGAAGACATATATATAGGGGTGGGACTTTAGTCCCGGTTGGTAGCACCAACCGGGGCTAAAGATCACCGGGATCATTAGTCCCGGTTGGTATTACCAACCGGGACTAAAGTTAAGATCTTTAGTCTCGGTTAGTAGCACCAACCGGGGCTAAAGATCACCGGGATCTTTAGTCCCGGTTGGTATTACCAACCGGGACTAAAGTTAAGATCTTTAGTCCCGGTTGGTGCTACCAACCGGGACTAAAGATCCCGGGGGGGCCTGACAGGTCCTGACAGCATTCGAACCGGGACTAAAGATGATCTTTAGTCCCGGTTGGTAACACAAACCGGGACTAAAGATCAAATATGCCCGTTACCCTTTTGAACCGGGACTAAAGATCATCTTTAGCCCCGGTTTTTATTGCATCCGGGACTATTGTGGAAATCGGCCGACCGACGAAAGATGGTTTCTCCACCAGTGCTACATGGCTATGCAAGGTTTTTGAGGCTTTGTGTGGTGCACCTGCATGTGTGATGGATGCTGAGGTGGGTGTCGGATTTTTAAGCTAAATATCGTACCGATCCAAGCACTTGTCTAAATATTACTGAGTGCATGTTCAAATATTCAGCTGATAGCGTGAGCTCATATCACCTATACCATAAAGACAATGCCAATACATATGCATCTTCTTATTTATTAATTTCAGATTCAAAAATTATTATATTTAAAGCAAACAACTATCAAGGGCTACATAAACCATAAATAAATATATAATTAATGTTACTTAATCTTCTCGATACAATACATCAACTGGACAATATATAGTAGTGTAGTTACTACTTCTCGACACTTTGAACTATATGCATATATAGGAGATGGATTTTCATTCCACAAGGAAACTATACACACAACTTTAGGGTGAATCTATCATAGGGGCATCCGGATCTTGAGCCTTTACTACTTTCTCCGTTTCACAATGTAAGTCATTCTAGCACTTTTCATATTTATATTGATGTTAATGAATCTAGATAGTATCTAAATTCATTAACATTAATATAAATGTGGGTAATACTAAAATGACTTACGAAACGGAGGGGGTACGTACTAATACGAGGACAATAGGAGCCCTATGAAACCCATCAAATTTTTATTTCTTCTTAAATCCACCGCTGCACAACTCGTCGCACAGACGATGCAGCGGCCAGACATGCATATATGCAGTGGTCGCGTGCGTTTTCTGTCCATGGCTAGCTCCGTGCTACTTCTAGCTAGTGCTTCAGGTAGAGGTCGATCTCGACGATGCCACCGGTGGCGAGGCTGTAGTCGTAGTTCTTGGTGACCATGTACCCGCGCGCGAGCCGGAACCGCCCCGTGCCGCCGATCACCACCGACTCGCGCTCGCCGGCGTCCATGTCGATGCGGCCCTTCGCCGTCACCGAGCTGCCGCGGTGCTCGCCGGCCTCCAGCACCATGTGCAGGCTCAGGTCCGACAACACGCCGCCCTCCGACACCCGCACCGCGAACCCCTGCGCCGTGCCCACGCGCGCGCTGCCGGCGGATGGCCCCTCCGTCAGCGCGTTGTTCAGCGCCACGATGTCGCCGAACTGCCGCGGCGGCGAGCCGTCGTCGCCGTTGCCGTTGCCGTTGCCGTTGTCGCCGTCGAGCAGGGAGCGGCCGGAGACGACGCGCATGGCGGTGGGAGCCGGGCCGGTGTAGGCGTCGTGCATGTAGAAGTGGAGGTGGGTGGTGGTGGTGGTGGTGGAGGCGCCGTTGCGGTGGAGGAAGACGGCGGCTGCGAGGAGGAAGCAGCCGACGAGGACGGAGGAGAGGGACGCCATTGTCGAGCTTGATGTGGGGCTATGGCATGCAGCTGCTTGCAGTGTGTTGTTGCAGCTGGCAATGGCATGTACTTATGGACGTGACAAGATAGCGAGTGCTAGCGCAAGCGAAACGTTTCTTTTTTAAAAAAAAACGAACTGGGCTCCTCCTCGTGTGAAAGTTTTAAAAAAACATATCTACACACTATGCATACTTTAAGGTGCTGTCACATCGGATGTTTAAACCCTAATTTAGAGTATTAAACATAGACTAATAATAAAACTAATTGTATGAATGAGAGCTAATTGGCGAGTCGAATCCATAATTAGCAAAACTTTTGCTACAGTCAACTTTTGCTAATTATGGATTAATTAGGCTTAAAAAATTCATCTCGCGAATTAGCTCTCATTTATACAATTAGTTTTATTATTAGTTAATGTTTAATAGACCAAATTAGCGTCAAACATTCGATGGAGAGGAACTAAAAAGTTTTAGTCCCATGTAAACTGGGCCTTATCAAAAGTTTTAGTCCCATATAAACTTGGCCTTATCAAAAATAGTAAAGTATCTTATCTGGTCATACTCATATTTTCAAAAAGAATGTAGCATGCTATTCACATGCTATGAGAAACAGTACCATTGATGTACTCTCTCCGTCGTAAAATATAATCATTTTTTAGACTTCGACACAGTCTTCAAGATGATATATAAAAATAGGATGTTGTAAATAAAAAAAATACATATTATGATAGTTTGCTTAATGATAAATCTAGTAACATCAATTTTACATGATGGATATTTTTTATTTTTTCTATTAATAGTCAATGTTAAAAGTTTGACTTGACACTATGCTAAAAATGCTTATATTTTAGGACGGAGGGAGTAGTATTTTTTTAATCACTTATATCTTTTCAACGGTATATATATTTGTCATGGTTATAAATACCACATACCTAATAGTAGTTAATTAAGCACGGCGGGACCCAACACATATCAAGTCTTATACGTACCTAATAGTAGTTAATTAAGCACGGCGGGACCCACCACATATCAAGTCTTATATGGAATTAGGCCTCACTTATGAAAGGTATTTTGAATAAGGAAGGACAAGTAGAGTTCTATATGGAAACTATAGGGACTACTCGGATTGTATCCATATTGGTCCCTATAGTTCTATTTGGTCAAGGGGACACCTATGGGTATAAATAGACCCCCTAGGAGGAGAGGGGGACAATCAAGATAGACACAGACCAATACAAGCAAACACACGCCAAGACAAGCTGCCAGATATCAACATCAAAAATAAGCCTAGACAAACCCAATATAGTGCCTGTAGAGGCTAACAAGGGATCTAGCGCTATCTCTAATCTCGCCGAGTGCGGATTCAAGGAGGAAGACTATCCCGTTGTCGACTACATCATGGTATTCTAGGCCGCCAAGTCGACAACGGTTGATAGATTATCCCAAATTTTGTACTGGTGTGATTATGATGAATAAATAGCAACACCGGCTTCGGCCAACAGGAGTAGGGATATTACTTGCCAAATAAGGGGCCCGAACCTGTATAAAAATCCTTGTATAAAAATCCTTGTCTCTATCTCTTTTACCTCAATCTTGCATAAACCTTGGTACCGACAATCCCCTTACCATGTAGTTGTGACCTAAAACATCGACAATATTATTTTAAACATCTACATATTTGAACGATCGTACTTCACTCAAAATATATAACAAAACAAGTCCAATATTAAAAATTTCCAATTATTTTAATTTTTTATTTTTTTTCATAGCTCCTGTAATAGTATAGTTATTTCAAATACCACGAAGAGTTTCTTTCCCAGAGAATGTAGTTACTTCTACTTCTGAAAAGAGTTACTTCTACTACCTTAAAAGCGATGGAGCCCACATGTTAGTTCTGTTTTTCTTACCTTTTAATTTCTAACGATATATACTCCCTCTGTTCTATAATATAAGGGATTTTAGAGGGATGTGACACTTTATAGTACTACGAATTTAGACAAAAAAAAAAGCTTGTCCATAGTCCTAGAAAGTATCCTATTCCTCTAAAATCCCTTATATTTTGGGACGGATGGAGTATATTTTAATTTCTTCCTCTCGTACATAAAAATCGGTGCACAACTGCACATGTCAGAATATATATTAAGCCAGGCATCAGCCATACCATTGGTATAATGAAGACATTGCCTGATGTGATTGAGATGAGGGTAACTGATTAATTCATGTTCTAGGAAAGACAACATCCGTCCTATAAAAAACCAACCTAGGATGAGATATGACATTTCTTTATACAATTAATCTTGATAAGGGTATGTCCGGGTTCATTATACTAAAAAAATGTCACACATCCTGTCTAGGTTGGTTTTTGATGGCACAGACAGAGTACTGTTGTATATTTTACGCGCTCTCTCTCTCACTACTACTCTCCTTTTCTCATCCATAGTGTATGTCTACACATGCATATCATGTCATGTCATTCGCGCATGTCCACATAAGTTTTTGCTTGCTCATTTGCACGTTTTCTCCCATTTTCAAATGTTTTTCTTTCAAAATAATTATCCATTCTATCATTTGATTACACTGTTGTATTACAATTAAATCTTTATAACAATATATCACACAATTATATTTTGATAAAAAATCAAATATTGTTTCACCCTTTAAAGAAAATTGTTCACTGCATAAAGAGTTTCAGAGAAATGCAAAAATTAAAAATACCGATTGCAACAATAGTAACCACCTATATGAAACATTAAGTCCCAAAGAACGAAAAAAAGTCATATTTATATCACATATTAATATTAAATTGTAAATATTGAAACATTATAAAATACTTCCTGAAACATTCCAGAAAAACCAGGTGCAACATTTGCAAGTTAACTAGTGCAACATCATATGTATTCTAGTTGAAACATTTAAATAAAATTTGTGCATCATTTAAAAGAAATGTAAAAATGCTAAATATTTTTTCATTAAAATATAACCATATGTGGTCTTATTATAAAGATTTAATTGCAGCGAATTTAATAGTGCCATGGATCGTAGATTGAAGAAGTAAATTAAGAGAAAAGGTAGTTTATAGATTGCTAAAGAAAAACTAATACCACCCAACTAACCATGGTTTTTTATTAGATGCATGCATGAATATAGACTTAGCTACATGGCTACGCAAGATTTTACAAGCTTTGTGTGGTGCGCCTGCATGTGATGGACGCTGAGGTGGGCGTCCGATTTTTAAGCTAAATACCTGACGCCCAAACCATAGTGGTGTCGTACAGATCCAAACACTTGTCTAAATATTATTAAGCACATGTTCAAATATTCAGCTGATAGCATCAGCTCATATCACCACATCACCTGTACGATAAAGACAATGCCAATACATATACATCTTCTTAATTATTAATTTCAGATTCAAAAATTATTATACTTAGAGCAAAGAAACTATCAAGGGCTAGCTCGTGCTAATTATTTTTTATCAAAACAAACAACTATCAAGGGCTACATAAACCATAAATAAATATATGATTAATGTTACTCAATCTTCTCGATACAATACATCAACTGGACAATATATAGTAGTGTAGTTACAACTTCTCGATACTTTGAGGAGTTTCTACGTATATAGGAGATGGATTTTCATTCCACACGGATAATATACACACAACTTTATGGCAGATCTATCATGCAGGCATCGGGATCTTGAACATGAGGACAATAGGAGCCCGCACGAAACCCCATCAAATTTTTTTAACATATACAGATAGAAAGAAGTACTAATTTTTTCAGTTTGTTCAGATATTACTTCCTGAATCCACCGCTGCACAACTCCTCGCACAGATGATGCAGCCATGCATATATGCAGCAGTCGCGTGCGTTTTCTGTCCATGGCTAGCTAGTGCTGCAGGCAGACGTCGATCTGGACGACGCCGCCGGTGGCGAGGCTGTAGTCGTAGTTCTTGGTGACCATGTACCCGCGCGCGAGCCGAAACCGCCCCGTGCCGCCGATCACCACCGACTCGCGCTCCCCGGCGTCCATGTCGATGCGGCCCTTCGCCGTCACCGAGCTGCCGCGGTGCTCGCCGGCCTCCAGCACCATGTGCAGGCTCAGGTCCGACACCACGCTGTCGAAAAAAGATTTCGGCAATAATAAAATGGGTGGCTATCAAGCTAGAAAAGTGGATGGGTTTGGAGACGAAGAATTTTATAAAGGTTCGGGCCTTCTTATTCAAGAAGTAATACCCTACTCCTGTCCGGGGATGATTCCGCCGAGTGTGTTATTGATTGTATAAATTGGGAAAAAGAATCGCGTCCCAAGAGGCACACGGACCCTCCTTATATAGGGGAAGGAGTCCGCTTTACAAAATACAATCCATATCCTAACGGAATATGGGATTATAGATAAAATACAAACGTAACCGACTAAGATCCCGGGTATTTCCTTGACATACAAGTTTAGAACCTAACCCGAGTCTTCATAGAGATATTCCATCTATATTTGGTACCGTATATCCGACTAAATTACAACTGTCATGTAGATATGGGGTATCTATAATCTCCACAGTAGCCCCCGAGACGTTCGCAGTTGACAAAATAGCCTTCTCGAAACAAAAAACAGTAGTCCGAGTGCTTCAATTCAACTTGCTCCAGCTTGCCGAGTGCTAAAGATCAAAAACTGTGAAGGGCGAAAATAAAACATGGTGCATCGAGTAGATGTACCTAATTAGGTGTAGCCCCCGACTATGTGATTAGTTGAAAAACTAAACATATAGTCAAGAACCGAGTGGTTTTATAGCGAAGCACGCATGGTACTTAGTAAGATACCCAGCCGACTGCTTCTCAACTTGAACATACCAAGGACAAAAAATACAAGAAGGGCCGAGTGATAAACACTCAAAGGTCCAAAAATAGACATGTTTGATAGGAATCCGAGTAAAAATCTCATAAAATGACCCACCAAACATGATAGAAAATCATGGTAATTAATAAGTCTAATAGCCTAGGCTGTGACCCTTACCATAACCAAAATAAGCATATAACATGCTAAAAGAATGATTATTAATAAACCAGTCATCTCAAATCAACCCAAACAGCTTTTGCAGCCTAATAAAGCTTACAAAAAATGGTATAACACCTTTCTGTCGGGCACCTTTTTATATGCATCATAATAATTCCAAAGAATTATTGAATCGCGTTAAAAAGGATTTTAACAGCATTGGGCCACACCATTGTGAACACAAATTGCCAAAGCAAAAATTGACTAAGTCCCTAGGGATCACAACAGGCCACGCTGATTATAGTATTGGGCTGAAGTACTGTACAGGCCCAGGCCCATTAGTACTCCCGATACCCCAATAATACCGAAGTGAAAAACGTCTCTTCGTCTTCCCCGCCGAGACTCTCGCCACTTTCCCCATTTCCTGCTACAGTGCAAAACTGCGCCGGGCAAACTAGGGTTCATCAATCCGCTCCAATCCACCCTCAAAAACTTCACGAAATTTCTCCTCGCATCCACCGCTCCGATTCCCCATCCCTTTCCAGCCGTATCTCGAACTAAATCAGACCATCCAGTTCACATTCATGGCGGAAGAAAGAGAAAGCTTCGAGAGTCAGTGGGCGCCCTCCGATGTGACGGAAGACAATCTGAAGGAGATGGTGGCGCACGGCGTTCTTCCAGCAAAAGAGATCATCGGGTGGCGACCGGCATTTGGTGAGGCATTCCCGACCCCCGATACACACGAAATCGTGGTATTTGCTCATTTCTTCTATGGCGGATTTTCTCTTCCAACCTCAAGATTTTTCCGGGGAATTCTGAACTTCTACGGGATTAGCTTGCATCATCTGAATCCAAACTCTATAGTGCATATTGCCAATTTTATTCATGCCTGCGAAGCTTTTCTGGGCATTAGGCCTCATTTCGCCTTGTTCCGCCGCATCTTCTTCCTCAAGCCCCAGCTAAATAAGAGCAAACCATGCGTCGTTGGGGGTGCTGGTTTCCAACTCAGGGGAACACTAAGCCAAAAATACTTCTCCATGCCCTTCAAGACCTCAAATAAAGGCTGGCACGCAAATTGGTTTTATGTTCAAAACCCCGAGCCTGTTCTTCCCGAGTACTCCTGCCTTCCTCCAGTTTATCGGGATACTTGGAACTCACTGCCAATGGGAGATGAAGCTGCACAAGCAGTAGAACTGATGGAGAGAATGATAAAGCTGAAAGAACAGGGCCTTCAAGGAGAACAGATCACCCGGCACTTTATCAAGTGTCAGTTAGCTCCAATCAAAGAAAGATCTCGCACAGCCTTCGAATTTGACGGCAAGCATGACCCAAACCGTGAAGATCCAGATTCTCTTGACTTCAAGGTCATGAAGGAAAGGATGTATAAGATCTTCTCAAACGCCATCGTTGTCAGCTACTCACACTTGCTGCCAGTCGTACCGTTCAATGCATTCAATCCTCCTCCACCGGTACGTATTCATACACTTCAACCTTTCTCAAAATATGATCTTATTTTCTTGTTGAATTAGTTAACAATGAAGGATATTACACCCAGGAATTTGCTTTGATGAAGTCGGATCCCCCAATCGCTCAACGCCGATCTCCCCGCCACCAAACTGGGCAAGGGAGCGGAGGACCACGAATTCGGTCTGAACTCAACCAAGTGCTTCTGATCCAATCAGCCAGCCAGATTCTCGAAAGAGGAAGCTGGTTTTAAGTGACGACGAAGCCGATGATACCGCCAGGAGGCCTGGAGACCGAGAGACAACCAAGAAACTATCAAAACAGGCTACACCAAGGAAGAAAACATCCAGTCGCCCTGTGCCAAAGATCAGGAAGTCTTCTAGGTGCAACTTACATAACGATCTCTCTTGCATTGATGCGCACCCATTGTGGCAATAATACTGATAATCAAATTTGCAGGAAACCATCTGATATAGATCCGTCTGGAAAAGACTCTGACCCGACTAACATGGACACAAGTTCTTCCAAAGAAACCGGGCCAACTGCTGAGGATCATCCGAGTGACAATCAGCCGGCAACCGATAATGTAGAATCCGGTGATCAACCCCCGACTGGAAACCAGTCGGCCGAAGCCGAAGCCGGAGTTAATCAGGAGCCCCCGACTGGAAACCAGTCGGACGCAGGGCCAAGCCAAGAGGTTCCAGAAGTCGAAACCCAAGCAGACAACCCTCACGGACAAGACGCCAGCAATGACCAGAGATCTGGATCCCCTTTAAAGGCATCCGAATCCACTCGTCCTCGTCCAGAAATCATTACGGGTAAACACTTTGTCTGAAACCATGTTGACCCAAATAACTCTGATCGATTGTCTAACCTTTGTCAATGGATACATTAGGACCAATGATCGGTGATGAAGAAGAAATTCCCCGTATACAAGCAGCCGAAGATTCGTGCCCTCCCATTCTGGTCAAGTGGTGGGATGACAACTTGCAACCTCAAGGAATTGTAATAAACCGGCAAAAAGAAGATGAAGAGGTATGCCTACTGAAAAAGGCACTCAACCAAGCGACTCGCATTGTAAATGTAAGTCCCTTGACGCCTGACCTCAGCCATCTTGTTTGCCGTCTGGCTCGAGCGCTGATTAAACTGCTCCGCAGAGGATTCATCTTAGGAACGAGGCGAAAACCGCAACCCTAGAGAGACTAGTTCCTCATTTTGGAACCCTCGAAGCCACTAGGAGTCAATTGCACGAGGCCAGAGAACTTGCCAAGAAGAATGAACATGATCTGTGGGATCGGATTGCTGAGCTCCAGGAGTCCAATTTCGAACTGAGTGGCTCATCAAAAGGTTCGCGCAAACTCTGCCCAACTGATTTGTGCTGTTATCTCTGTAATCTTGATTAACCGAAGTTAATGTAGTGCAAGCTGCCAAGATATCTCAACTAGAGAAACAGATCCAAACTCTGGAAAATGACAAGGCAGAGCTGGCAAGATAGAGGGATTCGGCTTTAAAGGAGGTTGAAGGTACCAATAATCAATACCTCAAAAGCCATTATCTTCTATATGCTGATTCATTAATGTGAATCTGTTGACGCAAACCGCAAGATCAAGTCTCAAGCACAATTTGATGTCTTAGTTGACAAGATCAACAAGTTTGAAGGAGCCAGGGATAAAGTCGCTAATGCCGCTACTCCACTTATCTAGGCCATGTTCTTCAATAACGCCGGTTCGAGTACACTTGATGCTGCCGAAATCTTCGACAAGCTGAGAGTCGCACCAGATACTTACTTCAAGAACATCAAAGAAGCTGGAAGTATGGGAGCAAGTCTGGCATTGGCGATGACCAAATCCCTTTATCCAAGAGTTGACATTGATGCCATTGATGGCTTTGCAGACGGGACGAGCGAAGAAGCTGCTCTTGACCTCATCAATGATGAGCAGAAAGCCGCTGACAAGATTGCTGCTGATGTAGTTGAGAGATTCCAAGATTTCGACCTTCGGCCAACTGGGTCTGATAAGTCTGATGATGAAAAAACTGATACTGATTGATATAACAATGATTTTGATGATCAATGACGGTGGAGGCTCAATTTGTACAATACTGATGAATTTATGCTATGCTTGGTGTTCCATACTTAGCTTCTGATTTCTTAAAAGCCTTTGTCAAACCTTATTGAGCCTAAAACCCACAAAAGCTATTAAAAACCTTCAGTCCTCATTGGCTAAGACGAAAGACCAAACAGGGCAATGATAAATCAAGTAAGCAAATTGAATTGATAAAAATCACACTCCATTATTATCATAGTAGCCCCCTGACTGAAAACTTCAAGGAAAACCTTGAAGTTAGCAGTCAAAGAGGAAAGATACAAACGAAATGCCTAAGCATAAAATCGACGAAGGTGTTCAATATTCCAAGAATTGTTGATGAGAGTACCGTCTTCGTGCTTGAGTCGATAAGAACCTGGCCGAGTGACTTCAGCAATTATGAACGGTCCTTCCCATAAGGGAGATATTTTATGCCGATCCTGTGTTGTTTGAATTTTCCTCAGAACCAGGTCGTCGACTAAAAAGGCTCGCGATCGAATATTCCGATTATGATAACGGCGCAACCCTTGCAAATATCGAGTCGACTGAATCAAAGCTGTTTCTCGGGCTTCTTCTAGTC